GTCAGAAGACATTTCAGGGCCTCAAATCTATGTTGATCAAATGAATAGCATGTGAAAATCCTGACTTTTGTAAACAAATGCATACAAAATGTTCAACTTTGGGAATAACCTTGTAAAATGTTCATGACACTTAGGCAAGATCACTAGAAAATCAGCCACACTGGAAGTAAAATATAGAGTTGACTGTGCTGATGAGGTCAGCTTTGACCTATGATACCCTCATTGACCTATGATAGGGTATTCTAATGAGGAGATCCATTAGGATACCCTAATTCTAATGTGAATACTCATTAGGATGTCCTCCTGAGTATTCTCCCAACTCATTAGGGGAGTTCTTTCACTCAATTTGAAACAGTGGGAGAGTTCTAACTGTGTACACTTGCAAGTTAGGTGTCTGACTGGATCTTTTGTCCACGCAAAGGACTTTCTGAACTTTCCTGTTATCGACCGGTGCTTTTTGTCACTTTTATGGTTGACATTCCTGAAAGGTCCTTGTGAGTGAATCATCTCCCTTTTATAGTAAATCAATGTGAAGTGGCACCAACACCAGAAATTTCTAGCAACCTCTCAAATGGACAACATAATAATAATGATAAAAAAATAAAAAATAAAAAAAATAACATAATATGAATGAGTTTGACTTGCTCTTTTAGAAGCAAAGGTTAACATTTGCCTTTTCACCAATATACCGTTAGGGCCAGAAATACTTGGACAGTAACACAATATTTGTGAGTTGGGCTCTGCATGCCACCGCATTGGATTTGAAATGAAACCTCTACAACAGAATTCAAGTGCAGATTGTAACGTTTAATTTAAAGGGTTGAACAAAAATATCTGATAGAAAATGTAGAAATTGTACACATTTGTTTACAAACACTCCACATTTTAGGAGCTCAAAAGTAATTGGACATATAAACATAACCCAAACAAAAAGTTTTTTCTCAATATTTTGTTGCAATCCTTTGGAGGCAATCACTGCCTTAAGTCTGGAACCCATGGACATCACACAAACGCTGGGTTTCCTCCTTCTTAATGCTTTCCCAGGCCTTTACAGCCGCAGCCTTCAGGTCTTGCTTGTTAGTGGGTCTTTCCGTCTGAAGTCTGGATTTGAGCAAGTGAAATGCATGCTCAATTGGGTTAAGATCTGGTGATTGACTTGGCCATTGCAGAATATTCCACCTTTTTGCTCTCATGAACTCCTGGGTAGCTTTGGCTGTATGCTTGGGGTCATTATCCATCTGTACTGTGAAGCACCGTCCAATCAACTTTGCAGCATTTGGCTGAATCTGGGCTGACAGTATATCCCGGTACACTTCAGAATTCATCCGGCTACTCTTCTCTGCTGTTATGTCATCAATAAACACAAGTGACCCAGTGCCATTGAAAGCCATGCATGCCCATGCCATCACGTTGCCTCCACCATGTTTTACAGAGGATGTGGTGTGCCTTGGATCATGTGCCGTTCCCTTTCTTCTCCAAACTTTTTTCTTCCCATCATTCTGGTACAGGTTGATCTTTGTCTCATCTGTCCATAGAATACTTTTCCAGAACTGGGCTGGCTTCTTGAGGTGTTTTTGGGCAAATTTAACTCTGGCCTGTCTATTTTTGGAATTGATGAATGGTTTGCATCTACATGTGAACCCTTTGTATTTGCTTTCATGGAGTCTTCTCTTTACTGTTGACTTAGAGACAGATACACCTACTTCCCTGAGAGTGTTCTGGACCTCAGTTGATGTTGTGAACGGGTTCTTCTTCACCAAAGAAAGTATGCGGCGATCATCCACCACCGTTGTCTTCCGTGGACGCCCAGGCCTTTTTGAGTTCCCAAGCTCACCAGTCAATTCCTTTTTCCTCAGAATGTACCCGACTGTTGATTTTGCTACTCCAACCATGTCTGCCATCTCTCTGATGGATTTTTTCTTTTTTTTCAGTCTCAGGATGTTCTGCTTCACCTCAATTGAGAGCTCCTTTGACCGCATGTTGTCTGGTCACAGCAACAGCTTCCAAATGCAAAACCACACACCTGGAAACAACCCCAGACCTTTTAACTACTTACTTGATTACAGGTTAACGAGGGAAAGGCCTTTTGAGTTAATTGCAGCCTTTAGAGTCCATTGTCCAATTACTTTTGGTCCCTTGAAAAAGAGGAGGCTCTGCATTACAGAGCTATGATTCCTAAACCCTTTCTCCGATTTGGATGTGGAAACTCTCATATTGCAGCTGGGAGTGTGCACTTTCAGCCCATATTATATATAAATTGTATTTCTGAACATATTTTTGTCAACAGCTAAAATAACAAAACCTGTGTCACTGTCCAAATATTTCTGGCCCTAACTGTATTTGAATCCAGTAGAACGAGAATGATGTAGGGTGATGGCAGCAACTGAACACACAATAGTCTGCAGGAAACAGACTAAGGCTAGAAAATAGTCTTTTGCTGCAGATTTGTTTTTTTCTGACAGAGAAAACATCTTTTTTGTGCTTATAAACTTTGATGTAGTTCTGAGTTCACTGGTTTGGTGTAAAGACACTTGTGAGCAGTGCCATCTCTGGAAGATATTTATGACACAGAATAAAGCCTAGTCTGAGCTTCATTAGCCAAGCATTTTTGTGGACAATATCCACATTTGCACTGGTAATAACAAGGTACAGATTATGTTGGTGTTTGACGAGGTTCTTTATAGAAAGCAGAATCCAAAACCTTTGTGAAAGTCCTTGAAGATGCCTTGACTTTTAAGAAGAAAGCATTCCAGTGACTGGTCCTCCCTGTTGAAACTGCATTCTGTAGAGAGACAAAGTTCCACTTTAGTCACCATGGATGCAAATTTATTGACCCGGTAATCCAGTGTCAATAGGCATGTCACAAAAGGAATGTCATTTAAGTAGTGGAGACCACAAAACTAGTCCTGCAACTTTTAGATGTGTCCCTTGTTTTACACGTTTGAATTAAATTGTGAAACTGCTTCACTGGAATACAGTCAATGTCTACAGGACTCTGCTAATGAGCTTCTATTGGAGCTAGTTGTGCTGAAGCAGAGAAACATCTAAAAGTTGCAGGTCAACAGCCCTTGAGGACTAGAGTTTGAGACCATTGATCAGGCTGATTTGTAGAGTTTCACTGTGGATAACACTGTTGTGAGACAATAGAAGATCTCCACAGGGCCATATAGACACACGCAAGACAGAGTGACCACTTAACTTAGCAGTCATGATTTTGGACTTTGGAAATGATCTGGAGTACCTGAAGAGAACCCACATATGACCACAAAGCAAGCAGAATATGTCAGTCATGCAAAGTCCAAGGTAAAACTATAAAGACTCTGAAAGACCAGCGAACTACTGATCAGGTTTATAAAGATTACAATAAAGTCTGGCTGCTTGCAAGGGAAATATGGACAAATTAAGAAAATTAAGTTCATTTTACTGTTGTTGGGTTTGTAAGGAAATGATTATTTCTTTCACACACCTTAATTTTTTTTCTTCTCAAGTCTCTTGTCTGACAAAGGAATCAAATCCAAAAGTATTACCTCAAACAAAAAAGTCAACTGGCCCAGCGCCTCAGAACAGGATAAACAAACTGTCATTGGATCATCTTCCCTTTTATGCAGCCCAATCATAGTGATGTGTCGACCCACAGAAAGCCACAGAGTGAGTGAATTATGGGAGACAATTGGATTGCCTTTTTCGCTTTTATAATGGTGCCGAGCCTAATAAAGAAACTTAATGGAAATCTTTAATGGAAGACTGTGCTAATGTAATAGCCTGATCTCTGTCCTAGTTACAGCTCATGAGTCTGAGGGAATGCTGATTATTTGATGATTAACTGGGGATAAATATGAATGGTGAAAAAACCACTGGTCTATGGAGAAACATAACCTTTGCTGATTAAAGTCCAGGGCACTCACATTTGCAATTGCAAAAAAGGAAAATAAATCCAGACACATTTTAATTAGAACTTTATAGCACCAGCACCATGCTGACTGAGATTGTGTAATCATGTCAAAGCTCCAATAAGACAGAGGCTATAAAATGTTCACCCAAACCCCAAACACGCTCCGTCAGTCACCATGACGAGCTGAGCAAGAAACGAATTGCAAAAGCAATAATGGCCGGGCGAAGAAGAATGAATCACAGAAAACTGGAAAACTATCAGTTACCAGGCCTGCAGAGGGAAATATGATTATGGGATTAACGTCAGTGGAAAGTGCATTTTTGCACCATCGGTTGCAGAAGCGGTTAAAATGATACAAAGCCAGCAACAAGAAGCGACAAGAGAAGGACATTAGGAAGCTGTGGGCACCAGACGTCGCCGGCAGAGTTATTTAGGAGACGCGATCGCAGCAGGAATGAGCAGCCGCTTCATCCACCTGCTGCTCTGGTCTCTGCTGTTGTGATGTCACAGCCTCTGTCTGACTACAGGCAAATCACAATGAAGGAGAAAATTCATCAACATCAATGTCATCTAAGACATCTAGTGACATTGAGAAACAATGTTTCCATTATTTTTCTATTATTTACATTTTTTTGTGAATTTGAAATGTTGCTTTAATAGTTATATAAATGTATGAGAAATTGATGCTTACCGTTATGGCAGAAAGTGACAAAATGTACAATTTTCCACACATTTTCTACATCTACTAATTAAAAATTACTTACTGTGTCAAACGACCCAATACAGAAACGGGCCTGCTTTTGGTTTTCATCCTGTTTATCATGTACACAATGAGCCGTGCTGCTTGGTGGAGTTGGAAATATATATATAGCAGATTCAAAGGTTAGATCAGATGTATCTCTATCCACAGATATTTTTTTCTAAAGTCTTGTGCGTTGACTGGTTTTGTCTTGGCTCTTATTTTCTGTTAATTGCTGTTAATCTCAGCAAAGACAAGACACTGATGACTCCCAGCCCAACAGAACCCCACTTTGAAATAATCTAAGCTGTCCCTTTAAATGATGCTGGATTTTATTTTGTAAAACACACACGAGAGACAAAGTTTCCTCCAAATATATAAACCTTTTTATTTTACAGTTTCAGCAAAATATCCTACATCTCCAGTTGCTCTGCACAGTTTGTTAAATACCTAAATACAGTTTTACAGTTTTAATCTCAGTAGAAAAAATATGGGATTTTTTTTCCAGTTACAAAATGTACACAACATAATTCCCACATGTAGGTGACATGCTGTGACAGGCTGACACATTAAAAACTCCTAGAAAACAAGTCGTTCTGCCAATTTCCTCTAAACTCGACATCCTGGAGAGAATAATAATAATAATAATAAGTTACAATACAGATGAATGGCACATTCATGACAGAGTTTACTCTCTAATGCTTGGAAATTACTGCGAAAGTGCCTGGAAATATTTTGTGCACTTAAACTCCTTTTATTCTGAGTCATGGTGAAGTTCTGCAGTTGCATTGTATTAGTTTGAAGTATTTCACCTAAATACATGAAAAATAAAAGTAAAGTGGAAGTCAATAGACAAGCGAAGGTCCAAAAGAATCCATTTCATGTTTAAAATGCTCCTCACAAGTGTAAAGAAAGAGTTCAGGGCTCAAATAAAACCTGTAAACAAAAAAGGATGCAGCAGTTTCATTTACAGGAACTAATGCAGCTTTGGTCTCAGACTGAACCTCAGCAATCCTCTGAACCTGGTATCAAAGAACTCAGACCGTCACACACTCTTACTAATGCAACACAAACAGTAGCTGTTAGCATGAGGTTTGCATGAGATTTGGTGGTTAATCAGAGATTGGGCAATAGAGCTTCACTCAGTGAGCCTTTACTCAAAGCAGCATGGATAAATGGGATTGGGGCGTGTTTAGAAGGAGGAAGTCAACAAATGTGTCCAACTTTTATCCTTAAATTAGTTACTGGGGTGTCTGCACCAAAACCTGAGAGTAAGTATCCAGATCCTTAGCTTATAAATCCTTCACTGTCTGAGTTTCCAGTCAAGCTGTGCTGCTCACACTGCATTTATTTAAGTTTGTCTGCCTGCAGCTTAAGACTGGGTGTGAAGTTCTAACAGCAAGAGCAAATCACTTAATTATATGTTTTTAAGATATGAAAGAAAAGGGAATACACCCTCAAAGAATATCACTTGCATGTCAAATGACTCACAGTTAAATCATCTCTCCAGCTGTGGTTCCTGCGTTAATGGCGCCCTGGGTGAGTCCTCCACCTCCTTTTTCTTTTGACAAATACATTTCAGATTTCCCAAATGAAAACTGAGATTTTACATAATCAAGGATATGCTTTGTAATTTATCTGTTGTTTTCATGGACTACTCAATTACAAGTAAAAAGCATGAACATGTTATGTTCCATTTCACACATAAAATGAGGATTATATAAAGAAACATAACACTAAGGTTTGACAATGCAGATTGCATTTTGAACCAAAGATGATTTAATCCACACTATATTCCTTTTACAAACAGAATAAATAGAAATCTGCAATTTAAATACAAACTTCATCATCAGTAGCCTCTTCAAGTCTACAGCCACATTTTCATTCCATGTTTGGAGGATGGCCAGGTTGATGAAACTGGTTATGCAAGTTGCAATAAAAAACTTTTCTGGGACAACTGATCGTTTGTTTTTTTTTAAATACTCGTACCATTCCTTACAAATTGGCACTCTGCATAATGAGCCACATTGCTAGATCACATCAAAGATTTGAGTAAGACGAGAACAAAGAAAAAAACTCATTGCCTGCCTTAAATCTGAGTGGAAAAGTTCACAAACACAAAACAAAAGTTTGCTGCTGGACAAAACAGGTTACAATGCTGCAAAAACCAGTCATGGAACTAAATGGCAAAACTGCAGTCGAGTCATTGCAAAAACGAGGCTGCTGAAAGTGAAAAGAGGATAAAATATCTTTGAAACAGTTGAAGCTTGTTTGAAGGGATGGAAAAGTTAAAAAGGGGACATAACAGACCTAACAAAATAATGTATACAGCTTTGTACATCACTTTGCAAAAAAAGACGTTGAACATAAGATGAAGCTAATATAAGTGAACATAAGCATGTTTTTTGTTGCACTAATTCAAGGACCACAAGGCGAGTCAAGTACTGGGGAATATTAAAATCATCATATGGAACAGATTGAGTGATGGGCAGGGGGGAGAGATGGAAAGAGATTTACACGTGTAAGAGTTCAAAAGACCAATAATAACAATAGTAATAAATTAACTGAATACAACTCTGCAGAAATGCAGAACAGGAGACTTCTTAGTTAGAATTGCCAGAATTATTTCTAATTCGTAAATGCTAGAAAACTTGGTGAGGACATTGTTTTAGAATTTTTTTTTTTTTTTTGTAAGAAATCGACACAAGTCATACATTTTAAAAGACAGTGGTCTGATACTGACCAATTGAATGCAATCTTTTGAATTAGAATTCAGTTTGTCTAACGATCGTCTCTAAAACTTACATTTTTGCCTACTGTGGATTCTTTAAAATATATTAATATGATTACAATTAAGACACTGTTAGTACTAACGTGTCAGACAATGGGTGACTACTTTTTAACCTTATGAATAATGATGCATCAAGGTGTAAAGAATATGTTTTACATCATGTTCCAAATTATTATGTACATTGGATATAATGTGTCATAAAGATAATTTTTTTTGATTTGCTATTAAATTTATAGATGGTATTGTGTGTCAGGGCTCTTTGAATCATGATAATTAATTTCAGAGAGCTGCTTGATGAGTTTAGCTCAATTAAAGGAAATCTACATTAGAATGATGTTCCACATTATTAAGCAGGCCACAGGTCTAAAGCAATATGGGAAAGAGAAAGAAACTCTGCTGATGAAAATCATCAGATAGTGTAGTCCGTACGACAAGGTATGAAAACATTAGATATTTAACTAAAACTGAAGAGTTATCGTACCGTGAAGAGATTCAGAACAAAGATGGGTTTGTACAGATAAAGGCATAATGACAAAGGTTTCTGTTAGACAAATGTATTATATTAAGAGAGCGGCTGTTAAAAAGCCCTTAAAAGCAGCAAACAGTTATTTGAAGCTACTGGTGCCTCTGGAACCCCAAGGTGGAGAAACCTCCAGAGGCTTATGGTGCATCAACCGACTATTGGGCCCCTAAGGAGTCATGCTTTGGGTCAAAATTATGTTGAGACAGAGAGAGAGAAAAAGAGAGAGAGAGAGAGAGAGAGAAAGAGGAAGAGAGAAAGAGAGAGAGCTTGTAGGCCCCTTCAGAGTCCCTGAAGGTGTAAAAATGACCCCAGCAAAGTATATGGACTTTCTGACTGATCACTTTGTCATGGTTCAAAAAGAAGAGCCTTACCTTCAGTAGCAAATGCATTGTCATGCATCTTTATGCATGACAATGAACCATCTCACGCTGCAAGGAATACTACTGTCATTGGCTATTATGGGCATAAAAGGGGAGAAACTCATGGTGTGTCACCATCGTCCTCTGACCTCAACACTATTGAGAACCTTTGGAGAAGAAATTCAAGCAAAAACTTTCCACAAACTCACAAGTTCAATGGATGCAATTATTGTGCAGGTGATTTCAAAGAAGGTCCTATGTTAACATGTAACTGTCTGTTCAAATATTTTTGATTGAAATAGCTTTTGATTTTAGTGCATGTGACCACTTAATGCTGCACATTCAAATAATGGCCGTTTGCAGTTCTTTATAATCCATAAAATGTTTAGAAAATCTACTGTGCATAATAATTTGGAACAGTGCATTTTGAGTTTTTTGTATTTTAACAAAATACTGTTCTCATTGGGAGCTTTGTTCACTAAATTTTGATTTGTACTATAATAGTTCATGACTTGAAAATTGTACTCACCATCATTTGCATTGATCATTTAAGAAAATATTCCTTGCATAATAATTTGGAGTTGTATTAAAGAAGTGCTAAACAGTTAGTAACTTGCAGAAACTCTAATTCTAATTATTTTGAAGTGTTATTTAAAACAAATGCCAGCAATAAGCTACATAGCAAACAAAGACTTCATTGCTCGCATGGTTACGTTTGTTGGGTTTCACTTTTAAATAGTAAAAATTTATTGTTGCTTAATAATATCAGTGAACTGCAAAAACACAGTAAATGAGCAAAGAAAGGATGATAAATTGTAAATGATATGAAAGTGAGCCACTTCCTTCAGCCTGACTGCCCACCATGTGCTATGAAACTGCTTCTTTTGAACGTTTGCTCCGTAAAATGCTGGCGAAGCACAACAGGTCTTTTAGAGGAATTAAAAGCCTTTTCTTGAGTGTTTGCTTCACAACACTCCATAAAAGTATGAAATAGTGCAGATGCATTTTCCTGCATAAAGCACTTTTTTCTCATAAAAATCTGTAAAAGCCTTTTTTCAGATTGGTTGATGTGTTCACATATTAAAAATTGTGAGTTTTTATTTTTAATTCACTTTAAAGGAAAATCAGGACTAAAAATTTATTTTTCAGCCTCCCTGATCAGAACAGATCCAGCAAAAAAAAAAAAAAAAAAAAAATCAAACAAACAACAACAACAAAGATTCTGTTCAGCTTGCATCTCTAGTTTGTACATAAAGCACTTGAGCTTCCCAGAAAAACCCAAAAGGAAAACAGAAACTTTATCGAGAACAAAGAAAAGAATCAAGGTGAATCTCAGAAAATAAAGAAAAATAAATTAATAGACAAAAACATCTGACATTAGAAGAGTTAATAACCACCACCAGGTCTTTCTCTTTACCAATACAGTACTGTGGATTGAACAGAGGAGAGAAAAAAGAACCAGAAACACAGCAACTTGCCATGATTAAGATCTAAGAAAGGCTGCAGTTAACCTTTGAAGGCAGGAGAAACTATGGTAGGAAAAACAGCCTCTCTCGGCTTGTGCTTTCGGAGTGCACTAACTTCGAAAGCTTGACAGGAGTCAAGAATAAACAGCGCTGCCTTCACTACACTGCAGGTCATTTTAGCTTCACTTTAAAGTCACCAAAGCTCCACTGTGACTGCCTGAAACGCTCTCTGTCGCTGTGAACACAAAACCTTCTGGACTCCAACGAAAGGCACTAAGATTTCCATTCAAGTTTATCTGAATCCCAGCGCTAGCTCGGTGAGGCCATCCGGAGTAATTCAGCCAAAGTGATGAATCAGCATGGCAGGCGGCCAATCGGGCCCCAGCCTGCCATGAATCGGCGGGCCTGTCCATCACACAGCCAGAGAACAAGACCCGCCGCTTGGCCGTCTGTGATGAGGTCGTTCCAGTGACTGAACTGGGAAGCAGCAGAGGACAGCTTAGAAACGTTTACATGTGGGGGAGCATGGGGAATACATCCCAAGTTTCAACGTTGGGTTTGAACTCGGCGAGAGGCAGAAAAAAGAACAAATGTGCAACGTTCTTCGTTACCAAGCAGGACAGATCCCAACATCAGACGGCAGTCGTGTTTGAAGAAAATAGAAGGCCAACGTTGCACAGAGACAAATCTGAGAGTGACTCATGAGGACACGTTGGGAGGGCAGAGAATAAAGGGGGAAAACGAGCTGAGAGTGTGCAGAAGGTGGCAGTCTCGTCCCCTCTGTCTCTCTGTCAATTCTGCTCATGGTGTCTCTGCCTGCAGATGTAGAGGAGAACCCATTTGCTGGCTGATTCTCGGAGTGGTTCTGCCTGGCTTCACCGGGTGTCAGGATGACTTTGGCTCAGCGCGAAGCCGCCTCCCTCCCCTCCCAGAAGCTCCCCCAGGGAGGTTGTCAGAGCCGGAGAGACATAAGGGGATTTAAAAAGGGAGAGAATGGAAAGGGTGGGCAAAGGTGCAGTCAAGCAGGGAGATTGAGACGGACGGAAGGGCAGAGGCACATCGTGAGGACCAGGAGGGAGGGCGAAATACGGGATAAAAGGGAGAAGGAATGATGAGGAATTTCGGGTAATAACTCAAAAGACAAACCAGGAAGTGAGACAGACCCGCTGCCAAAGCACAACACCCCCAAGTCACTTTTACACCATTAATCAGAATAAATTTCAGGCTCTCCTTTAACTCCTCTTTACAATATCCCACCTTGATTTATTTCTGGCACCTTTGCAAAAAAATAAATAACACCCTTTCACCCCCAAGCTCCAGGACCACTGGGAAAGCTCCTGGTCACAGCAGTAGCAGCAACGTCGGCGGCCGATTCCAAGACTGCATGGGTCCAGAGTCTGTGAGCAGACTCAGTTTGTACCGCGGTTGAAGTTCTCCAGAACTGTGCTGTTGGTTCTCTCAAACAGCCACTGTTGGCTGGGGGACGAGGGGTCACACGTGTTCATGAAGACCCGCCGCTCGTTGGCGTTGCTGTCCACACAGCTGTTGCTGACGGGGTGATAGAGGCTTTTGTCCTGGAGAACGAGAAGAAAGACAGGTCAGAGAAAGGAAGGATGAAACAACTGATGGGTTTAACACAGGAGTCGAGTTCTCAGATCTATAATGACCATTTAAAATGTTCTTCAATTCTACAGTCTGACATATCAGGACAATGTAAAAATGACCCGTCTTTAGCATATGGGTGTGTGTTTATAGATGAGATTTAAAGAGATCAGTATTGAGACGAGAGAAGCAACTATTGTTTGCAGTTTTCTGCTATGACTATTCTATGACTATAAGAAACATGTTCATTACATTTTTTGCACAAAATCATTCTTAGTTAATAAAATTTTAATCTGGTCAGTTCAGAATGAGCCGTTTGAGGATGTTTTGGCGCCACCGACTCAACCTGTGAAAATTGCTACAAACAGATACAACTATACATCTTTGAAAAGCAGAAGTGAGGCCTCCTGCACAACCACCAAGAATGCAGCACGTGGATTCTGGATGGAAATTGAACAACAAAAGTGTTTTGTAAAACCTGCTGACCAAATGAGCTGGAGCTTTGCTTGGGTTGCTAAGTGACTAGAAGGGCACCACTGACATTGCTAGGTGACAAGATGGACTCAGCTGGGGTTGCTAGGCGAGAGGCAGTAGTTGCTGATTTGTGATGATACATTCTGAAAATTTTAGAAATGATTCATTTTACAGAAAGCACTAACTTACCGTCGAAAAAGAGCAGCCTGTTTTGATTAGGGGCTTGGGTTGGATTCAGAAGCACATTTTCAAATGGAAATACAAAAATGTGTAGATTATGAATTTTGCACAATATGTCTCCTTTAATAAGTAACTACTGGATAGAATGAACTCTGTTGTGTATCTGATTTTTGAACCTGGTAAAGGAGCAAATCATTTTATTAGACATTGATGCACTAACCAAAGATTTTCTGGGCCCCTGATATATCACAATAAAATCTCCCCCAAAAAGGAAAATTGTTCAATCAGACATTAACTTATACACATATTTTGTTTTCAAACTCCATTGAAGTTTATTTCACACTTGAAGTTGCAACAAAACACTCTATAAACCATCTTTGCAGTGAAACACTTTTGTGTAACTTTTTTTTTTCATTAATTCATTTCCAGCACAAGAAAGACAGTAGAGTACCTTCCTATAGCGCCACAACTGGTTCCCCCTCATGCCGTGGCAGTCGTACAGCGTGACAGGACTGTGGTGGGAAATGGCATCGAAGCAGACCTTTTTGGTGTGCATGGGGTCACCCACCCGGATGTCTTCCCTCCAGCCAAATGTGAACACCTGCAGGGAACACAGACTTCATGTTGGATCAAAAGAGACAAATCAGTGGGAATCTGTAAAAGTCGGAAAGTTCAATAACAGAGTCTCCATCACACCAGAAAGTATTGCTTTACTGTGTGTTTTTACTAATGGTTCAGCCATTCCAGCTCTCTGACCGTTTCCTCACTTCTTTTGTAGTGAACCAAAAAAGATCTGACAAGAGCATCCACTGAAGGACCTCCTGTGATTTGCAGCAAATCCATTTCTCTTTAGTGCCAAAAACGACTTGCAACCATGTCACAAATTAAACTGCAGTACATCTTTGGACAAAAGCAATTAAACTGTCGAAGCCATGAAGTCATCCAGGAAACAGAAGGAGTCATTCAATCCATTAAGGTTGTATTATGTTTAAAGAACCTCGGTGTGACACACAAGTACAAACGCAAGCCTTCTGAGACATGGGAAGGTAATCAAGTCTTTGCCTGTATGTGGCATTCATGTGTGTTTAGCCAAGGATGATGACTAACAAAGGGACAATAACAGTGATGCAATCTATGAGGACAAACCTTCAGTCTTCTGTAATGCTACTTTGAAATAAAAAAAAATATTTTAGGTGAGACTGACAGTAAGGTTTATTATAAGAGTATTAAGGGATCTGGTCAGATTAATACAACTCAATAACACCATGATATAAATAAAGTGACTGGCCATTAGAAAAATATGAGAATTTGAAGCGCAATCAGGAATCCTGATTTGTTCAACTCAGCAAACAAAGAAGATCTACTATCAAAAATCACTTTATGAGGAGGATGAAGGTCAGAATAGTATAACAGCTGCATATATAAAGACATCTGATGCAGATGTTCTCTGCCTTTACCCAAATGAATGTTTGGTCAGACACCAATTAACTAATTGAACTACAATGATAAGAAAGTCTTAAGCTGTTGAGGTGCAGTCGCAAGGAGTCGGACATTGCAGAGATAAGAAAATTAATTACCTGCAGCGAATGGAGCGAGAGAGCAGAGGCAGCTTGAAATGACTTAAATATACTTAGTCACTGTTAGACAGAAATGATCAAGAAGACTGATATAAATACTGATCAATAAGAAGTACAGCTTCTTATTGGTCAGATTTTTTTGTTATTATAACAAATATATTAAACTAGAGCTACCATATAAAATCCACTGATAAAGACCCAAAATGAGATATTTAGCAATCATCAGTTATTCACTATTTTTACAGAAAATAGTTGACAGTAGGGTGAGGTTGTCACATGATCAATAAATTAAATATATATTTCAATACAAATATATAGATATATTTTATATTTTTTGTGTAATTTGTTTAATTTAATCCTGATTAAATATTTAAACAGTGGTATAGTATTCTACAGTACAGTGAGGTATAAATACAAATATGGTCAAAACCTCCCATTCTAATAGGATTGTTATATGGAATGATCAGATACTGTTTTAATTTTTTGCAAAAGTATCGCTTCACATAATGTTTTTTTTTTCTTTTTTTTTTTGACAACTAAAAACTTTCTCTCAATTTTTTTCGCTATGAGAGTCCAGCTCATATTACCTGTTTAGTCTAATAAAAAAACCTGAAAGTTGTAAAGGTTGTACAGAAATGTATATTTGCAGGAATCATATCTGATAAATGCAGATCTGATTTAAACCAGTGTCTTATTGTGTCAGGGGTGAAAAAAGTTCCACCATCAAAAATGCGTGGAAGTTTAAAAGTGTCCTTCAGGATTCAGGACTGAAAGCGCTGAAGCCTGAAGGACTTCAGGCTTCAACAAGCTCTGCTGCCAGTCGTGCAGAGCTTGTTCAATATTGGCATTATTTTGCAATATTGGCAATATTTTCCAACATTCAAGAAAATATAGGCTTATATCTTATATATTCAAGAAAATATAAATATTTTCTTCAATGTTTTCTCTAAAATCTTTTGGCCAGATTTTAGAGTCTGGGCAAAAGAAAAGGTGAAGAAACCAGAGTCGACAAACTGGTCAATCCCACACTCTAACGAGATAAAAATAGCTAGAATTGGGTGCAGGAGGTAAAATTCACTACCATCCATCTTAACACAGGTAACAAGGTAAAATGATTGGAAACATTGGTTAGGCTGACTGCATTGGACAGATTTTCAAATAGAACTGTTTAGTAACTCTAAAATTATCTAATGAGCCATATAAACACATCAAAATCTAAACCAGTAAAATATGTCGGCTAATTCTTACCTGTCCATGACTCCAGCTAACATCAACTCGGCCCTTCACACAGTTCTCCAGGCGTATTGGACTTCCGGACACAAAGTGTTTGCTCTCCATGCACAGTCCACTGGCCACGTTACGGACCTGCAGTGATATCGAGAGAAAAACTGTCATAAACAAGACTTTAATCTGTAACAGTTCAAAATGCCCAATCAGATGTACTCAGTATTAGATTATTAGTGGTGTTAGAAGTAGTGAACAGAAAGAGAAATGCATCTCTCTGGTAAGGAAGCATAACATTCTAGTAAGTCAGGCAAACTAGCTTTTGATATATTGTAGATTTCTCCATCTTTAGTCAACAAATCCATGAGTGGGATAAACTGTACCTCTCCCCACGCGGCAGCAGGGGGCTCCACCGGCGGGTAGTGTTTGGGCAGATCCCAGGCCACCTCATTCATGAACCACTTAAAGTTTTTGCAGTTGAGTTTGTTGCGCAGCTCCTTTTGTGTCGTGACGTCTCCGGCCGACAGGTGGCGGTACTCGGGCCGGCGCTGGTAGATGAACTCAGCGTACTCATCCATCCACACCTCTGCTACACGCTTCAGGTTCTGGAATCAAAAAGTCTAATATTATTCTGGAGATCTTGATATAGGTCATTTTCAGATCGTGATAATTTTCAGTTCTTGTAGGGTCAAATTCAGCTAGGAAATCATTTGTGGTCAACAAAACAAATGTCTAGATTTTTGTAGTACCATTTATGTTTCAAAATTTTTTTGCATGAAACAAAACTTTTAAAATCCCCGAAAGGTTAGTATCAGTTCTCCATAACACGCTGGGCACCTCCAGGCAGATGTGTCAAAATCACTAGCAAAAATACATAAATACAATGAAAACTTCCACGCGTCTTCCAATGTGGAAAAGTTCATTCTGAAACTTTTGTAAAGTAGGAACTACAGCTAAAGGAAATTTTCAGTTTTTAATCTATGCCAGTATGCAGCAACTGCTCCATAATATACATAAATTAGAGATTAAACTAATTTGTCATTGAGTGAAATAAGTATTTGAGCCCAAATGAATCATGACTTGGAACCTAAAAGAGTTCCAAGTCAGGAATGAAATTTTCTATGATTCATTATCAAAGTTTGCAAAAATCTCAGGATGGAATGTCTTTCTTTCTAGCAATTCTGTACTGAAATCACTGAATCCTTCAAAAGTGTATGTGGAGATAAATGCTGCACGTCACCCTGAACACATCATTTCTATGGTAACCCACAACAGGGGCTGCATCATGCTCTGGGCCTGATCATCTTCAGGGAGGAAAGGAAAGATGATGAAGAATATCACACTCATATTTACAACAGTGAATCTTTTGGTTGCTTTGTTTAACATTTGCACAGGAGTGGGTCTTTAGATTTATGGTCCAATACCTGGTGAAGTAAAAAAAAAAACAAAACAAAAAAAGAACTGTTCATTATTATTTTTTAATTAACCAATTACTAATTGTATAGTAAAATGTGTTTAATTGGAGATTATTTCATTTATTTATTTATTATAGAATTTGAACAAGGTTAAGCTCAGACTGCCACCTGAGTAGAATTACAGAAAAATCATTTTTCTGAATTGCAAATGTATTTGTTTTGTACAGTTTTGGCTAAATTACAGAATAGGTTGTTATTTCAGAAAATGAGTCTGCATAATTAATTACAAAGTTAGCTGAGAATTAGTTCAATTAATCAATTATCCTTTCACCTGTAAAATTAGTTTCAAACAAACCGAACAAGTACAGCTGTTGCATGTTTGACACATTTTTTAAGTAAATGCACAATCGGAAATCCCACCAATTGCAGCCTTGTGAGTGTAAAAGCTTATTGAGATGAACGGCTCCTGATGTGTGTTTGCAGGTCTGGGAGAACACGCTGGAACCTTAGAGCTACGAATGATGAAAGTAAGAATAATCTGGGTTCAGCGTGGCTCCCAGGGAGGAAGAATCGCATCTTCTTCAGCCTTCAGAGGTACAGATGTGTTGGGAAAGCGCTTGCAGCCGCACAAGCGCTTTCCCCGCAGCACGGCTCATTGACTGCAGTGAAACTAAAGCTCCGAGCTTCTTCAGGTGAATTGGAGTGCAGCAGCTGGTTTTCCCGGCAGGCTGAGTGCATTCAGAGAGTCCTGGGATCCTCTGATCCACACAGGACCCAGACTGCCAGGGAAGTTGTCTTTTTATTCAGAACCACAGCACCTGCTGAAGGGACTTCCTGCTTCTCCCTGGCAAGCAGGTTATGAGAGAATTACAGGAGAAAGACGATTCTTCTCCAAGAAATACTGAAAAAGATTTATAGTGAAATAGGATGAAAAAAGAAAAAACACCTCCAAACATTTCATTAAGAAATGCTCCAGGAGGGGGAAGACACAAATATTAGCGGTGCACTGATTGCAGTTTCCCAGCTGATCTGAAAAGCCTGACCTGCTGATTCTGTTTCTGGTTGATGCTGATTTTCTTCTCTGAAATGTAGGAAAAAAGTTGCTGAATTGGCAACAGTAAGGTGACACCTAGAAACCGCAGACAATCCTGGAAAGTGGATCTGTCTCTCTCACCGCAGAGCCAAAGAATTCAGTGATTGATTTTTCGACTATTGCTGATGAAGATAGAATCAGCTTCACATGTAAATATTGGCCAAGTAAGATCTCCCAAAATGAAAGAAATCTGGGCCTATTGATTGGTTCCTCCCTAAAAAACATGGTTTTCTCGAACTTTTTCTTTCTCTTGTAATGCTATGATTACCTGAGTGTGTCTTTACAATGACCAGAACATACATCAAGCCAAGCGAAAACTAAACAGAAAGTGTGTAATCACACTTTCTGAAATGATTTAAAAGAAAAACTTGAAAGAAGTGAAGTTGTTTATGCATCTCTAATATGTTTCATTTTCTATCCAGTAACAACATTTTAAGTGCGACTGGTAGAGTTCATAACTGTTGCTATTTTTCACAATGCTTGTTAGTCACCAAGTGTTTCAGATGTTGTTGTGTCCCATTGTTCTTGAATATGCTTTTTATTTATCATAAAATCAATAGTTTTTTTATTTCATGAATACTAAATAAATTCTCACATGCTGAGGGATTGACGGCTGTCCCTCAGCCGAATGTGGTTTTTCATTGTCTTGATGGGAAATGCAAGAGCCAGATGTGTCCTTGATGTGTCCTCTAAAATATCTGCTGAACTTCTCTCCTTTAATGCTGCCCTTGCAGAAGTGGAAATCACAGAGCCTGGCACTGAGACTGACAACAGGTTGGACGACCGTTTTCCTGCTTGGACTGGAACAAATGGCATCACTTTACTTACAGAAATGATGCTTTTCCATCAACAGTTTCTGTTTCCACTCTGTGAGGATCCATCAAGACAATATAAATGTTTTATATATACATGACAAAATCTGAAGTGTCTCTGGAATGGATATAAATCTATATTACAATGTTGGATAATGACTTAACACAGGTGATGCCATCTTGATGTGTTTTCCTTAATTATTAATTAATTAGACTTGCTGCAGAGTCGTGTCAGCAACTGGTTTGAAACCTTGGCCTTTAAAAATACTCAAACATCATCATGTTCTTTTATTTAATGAAGTTGTTATCCATGAATCTATCTTTGAGGCACAGTTTTCTGACTCTTGACTTGTTTTTAAATACACAAAAAATACTGACACTGCTTTTGAGCCAAATTTTGAAAATCTCTCTTAAACCGTCTCTAATCAAGGATCATTTTGACTCTCGTTTATTTTGGTATTTGCAAATGAAATCTTGAGCTCATAACACAAATAATTAAATACTTTAAATCAATTATCTTGTGCTATTATGGACAAGTAACATTTGCACCATCTACACAGATTGCTGCACGAATGAACTTTAAACACCTCGTTGCAGCTCCAGAGTTCGGCTCTATTTGATCAGCATTCAGGCTGTTCCATACAAAAACAGCAGCAACACAGGTCAACAGGTTCAGTCATAAATTCACCAGAGCACAACACACAAACGTATCTGAAAGAATCATACATAGGGAAGAATATTCTGATTCGGGCCTGATGAACATTTCTCAACACACTGCAGTCAGCATCATGTGAGCTAATTATTAGAAAACATTAGGCTACAGATTATAAACAGAGGTTTTGACACATTTTTGAGCTAAAAGGTGAAGCATATCACTGACACAAAATACCCATTCCCAATAAATATTTCCTAATATGTTTCAAGGTTTAGTATAAATCAGAAATGAACTAACTGCCCTGGCCTTTCTCAATAAACAATAAATCAATGAAACATTGTTGATGAACATAAAAAAGTATTTTTCTACTTTTTGTAATCAATCCATTTTAATGTATGTGAAACATTATTAACAAAAAATCCACGGGTAGCAGAATTTTGGCCAGTAACAAGTTTCTGTGTTCACAACATAAAATGGCACCATTCTCAAAACGCTTTTGCCACCAGAAATATAAAACTAAATCAGTCCTACATCCTCCTACACCTTTTAAACCTCTTTAGAGTTTAACTTTTCATTTTTATCCATTTAAAAAAAATAAAAATATGGTTATATTTTTAACGCTTTTTAACGGAAGCAGAAGCAGAATGCACAAAATGATATATATATATATATATATATATATATATATATATATATATATATATATATATATATATTATATATATATATATATATATATATATATATATATATATATATATATATATATATATATATATATATATATATATATATATATATATATTTTAATTTTCAAAGGACAACATTTGTAGACAAACATTCCGCTGCTGGACTTTGTGTCAAATGTTGGATTATGATATCGACATAAACAAAGCCTAAACACACAGCTGGAGATTGAAAACACGTTGACTAAACAAAGCTCTCTGTTTATCTGTTGACATCAACATGTCATTAAATGATGTGGATCTTACCCTGGCCAGGCTGACGCCTCCTGGAACCTTATATGGGACGTATTTTCTGTAGATATGTCCCACCCGGGAGCAGGGGATGTCCTCCATCCGACCGCCACACATCCACACCTAAAGTGACATGACGAGAGGGGGAGTCAGCAGAGATCTGTATCAGAAAATGTTGTTTTGGATTCGGCTTTATTTGTGCATCAGATTAGAAAAGGTGAACAGATCAGAGATGAAAGACTAAACAGCACCGCAGAACAAAAACAAAAACTGGGGTCAAATTCAAGAGAATAGATTAGCAGGACCAGAAGGTGACTGCATGGTGTGATGGAGCAGAATGTTGGCAGCATGAGATTTCTACGAATCTCAACGTGTGATTCTGGTGTGATTGTAAAGGAACCCTCCAATTACACACACAGCTTATGAAGGAAAGTCACTTGTGCTTAGAAGAATTGGAGTCTAGAAATGAAACACTAATTCAGAGAAAAGAGGGAAATCTGAACTTCAGCAGCAGGGACTGGCTGATGAATTAGTTTAAAAAAAACTGTAAGCTGTCAAACCACGAGAAAATCATCAGATGGGAAAAAAAAAAAAAAAACGCTACAGTAACTACAAATATCTATATGGAGGCATTTTCCAGTTTATTCTTCAATTCTACCTTTTGGTGGAGTTCAAGATAATACATTTCTCCTAACATTTTAAGAAAATGCTGTTTATAGAAACTCTTGAGGGCTGCTTTCATTCATACGAAGATTAAATTTCAAACAAAAATTGCTAAAAAAAATCTCTTGATTCATTACAAAGAAAGCCGTTAATTTCTTAGTTTTGAATTGCATCCCAGCTTTACTTCTTAAAGTGCTGTTTATACACTGCAATAGCAACACGTGTTTCTTAGTTCTGCAATAATGTTTAAACTCAATATAGGATACTTATCCTCTTTTTTCAAAACTTTTCATTTCAAGCCCTTTGCTAACGCAACTTCTGGATGATAAATGAAGATGCTTCACTGGGCCACAGAACTACAGAGTCCCAGTTGGCACAAATCAAAATCAGCTCAGTCTGTGAATCTGTGGGGATTACTTAGTAGGTTGTCCTTTACAATTTTTGCCAACAAATTAACAAATGTAACACTTTAAGTATCTCAAAGCTATGATGCTACCAGAATTCCAAAACCTTAAAGGAATTGCTGGAGCATTTTTTACCCAAGGCAGCATATCTTTGCACAGCACAGGTTCGGTATTTGCGGATTGATCGAGTCGTAGATTTTCCGTGGATTGTGACTTAACCCCAAGAACGGCGATAAGGAACCTGTATATTAGCTTTGTTAGAAACCAGGATGGTTTCCACTGAGTTTATTAATGTATATTAAGGTATGTTTGGTGTTTAATCTACCAAAAACAGGCATCTATAAGAAGTTTTAGAAATGGTCTCAAATATTTATGGCTTTTAGCTATCTCAGAATGGTCGTGGTTTTTAACATGCATGAACACCAGGTCTATTTCAGTGTGATGTTGTTTTAACATTAAGAGCCATTGTGTATACGTGGTGCATTATAGACACACCTTTGGAGCAGGTCTTTATTAGGGCATGTTGCAGCCACTTCAGATCAGAAGCCAACATGCTGACATGACCATTTCTAATAACTTAAACTGTTAGAGATTTTGTAACGATGTAAGATTGTGAACCTCTTCCAAGCCCATCAGTATTGCTTAAATCACCTTTTTTATGTTGCACTTGCAAAAAAAAGCAAGTGTTGCAGCTTTGATCCAATAAAGTAGGGTTAAAAATCTATATAAAATCTTATTACATTTCACAAATGAGCAAGCAGTTGAGGCTGCAGAACCAAATGTTAATGAAAAAATGACAACAAAACAACACAAACTTATTGCTCTTTAGCAAATGCAATACTCTCTTAAAGCTTGGATTCTTAATTAGGACAACATATCAAATGTAGAGGCTCACAAATTAATCTACTTTTTTTCAGAGAAAAAAATTCTATTCTCTTTTCAATATATGCATTGAGATTTAAGTTCAATCTAACTTGCATCTTAAAAGTGGATCGAACAGAAGGGAAAAGCCTAGCTTGGTGATGTTTCTTTGAGATTGTGTTTGAGTGGATTACATACATTTCATTCAAAAGTAAATCATTTGCAGGAATGTAAGTTTTGTGCATTTTAAGTCAATTTTATTCAAATCTCATAAGCATCAAATCATCAAAGAGGCAAACATTAGAATGAAGAAGCAACGGAAATTCAAAGACGTCTGACAGCGAATTAAATTTTTGACAAAAGGCTTCTATTCCATAAATGCACAATGTAGTTTAAAGAACAACCGCAACAGCATCACACTGCCGCATATGTCCAATCAAATCCACCTTCTCAGCAGTGGCCTTTGTGCTTAATTGAGTGAGACGACAAAAGTCCTTACTCGCTCGAAGTATAATTGAATTATTGTGACGGGCCGTTGTGTCTGTTTGTCTGGAGCTCACTGGCAGAGGCAGCCAAGATGAGTCGCAAGCAGTTACAGAATAATTCATGCTGAAGCGCCAGACAAAAACATAATCTAATATGGAACTCAGAGCATGATTAATGTGGAAGCTCGTCCATGCGAGGCTTTGTACTCCAGTCGAGATCAGAAATCATAACAAGGAACGCTCCGTGCTGCTCAACAAGTCTTAAAAGTTCTTTATGAGCTGTGGATGCAATGCTTAAATATTCTACAAAAGAGATTCATTTCGTAGAGTTGTTTAGCAAAACTTGTGTGAAAAGACTAAACCAATAACAGCTAAACATAAATGATGCTATAAATGCTTTTTAGATTGGATGGGAAGCCATTCTAAAAACATATTTTCATTAAGAGAAAGAGAGGAACAAAGAGAGGGGACACTTCCTAATGACCCTACTTTCCTCAAATTTGTGGTACTGGCACCTTTAACTGCCACCAAGTTGCAAATCAAGCTTAAAACCTCCTTTGAATTATTGGCTTTCCTTTTCAATTTGGCATGCGACCAAATAGCTCCAAAGTAATGCTGCGAGCTTTGGCTTCACCACTAATTTCCTGATGTTTATGTCTGTAGACATTCATTAAAATTCAGTCAGTCCAAGGATATAAGTTAAGTGCCTTGAGATAAACACTTGGTGCCATTTAAGCTAATTCAAGGCCCACAAATGGTGGAACATGACATGAAAACTGATGGATGTTTCACTTTTTTACCATTATCATTGATTCATTTTTAGATGGCTGAAAGGAAACCATTACACAGAACGGGCGCTCCCTGCTCAGATAATAGAAAAAAGGTAATTATGTAAATTGTGACAGGCATGAGTACACTGTCACTGCTTCACAACATAACATATATTCAGTATTTGTCCACATTGCTGAAGCAGCTCTTTGGAACTATATTTCTATTTACCTTGAAGGAAATCTCGTACTGTTCTCCTCCCCAGATCTCCAGGCCAGTATCGTATCCTCCCAGCTCCCAGAACCACTTCCTGTCCACAGCAAACAGTCCACCTGCCATCACCGGAGACCTGGAGGATGAAGACAGCTGACAGTAAGAAAAATCAATACAAATCCAACAAGAAAGCAAAACAAATACAAAAAAAATAAAAAAAAGATAATAGCTTTCTCCTTTGATTATTTTCAGCATTTTTCACATTCAAGTATAAATAATTACTCTAAACTGAGTAGATGACTGCATGTAGAGATGATTTTGTTGTTACTATGCCAACAGAGAAATACTAAAATAATTAGGATAGGAGTAAATGCTATCCGTGGAGAAAGAACAAAAAAAAAAAAAAAAAAAACAACTGCTTTAATATTTTCCCAAAAGATATATCTTTCTAGTCCCCAGTAACATAATCTTGTTAAATTTCTACCAGTTTTTCACCAATCCTGTATTGTCTTCATCCAACACTAGTTAAAACGTCCCAGGCATCAAGGGACACAAGGGCCATGTTCACACAACATGTCTAGATGCTCAATTCCCATTTATTTATTTATTTTTGCTGAAATCTGCTATTTTTTTTCTTGCATTTATGCTACTAATTAAACCCAATCTTTGGGGTTTACATCCCCAAAGTGAAGAAGAAGAACGTTGACGTCACACAGCAGCGTACTGCTTGTGGAACTAATGACAGGTGTCACCGTCCTTAGATCGCTTTTAAAGCTTATTCAGTAATGGGAGCTGACTTTATTACCACAAATCATAAGTCAAAGGAAGCTAATAAAAAGAAGTACAACTATAGCAAAGGCCTACTATGTAGCATTGACTGGAACGTCTTAAAATGCATCTCAAAAAAAAAAAAAAAGGATGTTCTGGATGTGTGAGACAAGTTTCCTGATTGTTGAAGCTTTCAAGGTTTCCAGAGGACACCAAGTCAGACTAATGCATCTCTCTCATTTTTGTAGATGAAGCCACAATCCATCTATCCATTTCCTGTTTCTTGAAAACAACTAAGACATCGGAACGTCTCCACATCAAGCACAAAGTTATCATCAACCTGACATGAACCAGTAAATGGTTTACAAGTTAGTGTAAAATAAAAAGCAAATTAAAAGACATCAGAAAAGATTTATAGAGTGTATGTGATGTATGATAAATTTTGTATTCTAAAATGTTTCTTTAAAACTCAGCTAATCCAATGTAGTGCCTCAGAATGTGTTTTCTTAATAGCACAGCTCCTATCTAAAGTGCAGCCATTGGAAATAAATTGTGGTTTCCTTGATGAGAAATTTTAAAAGCTTTCTGCTTGTCTGAGCAGTGTATCTTGTAATCTTTTCTATTACAAAATGAAACAGAGGGAAAAAAAATAAGGTCTTTTCTTATTTTCTACTTTTACCCTAAACTGGAGAGATTTTTTAAGTAATCCCACAGTTTTCATTACTTGTATAATGGTGATAGAGATCATGCCACTGGTTTTGATCAATAGAGACATTCCTCTCCCTGATAGAAGAAGTATTCATGGTTAATTTTGATGTGAGTGAAATAAGAGCATGGATTTTTGGGTCTATCTGGGAGATTTAAAGAAATATATTTGTTTTTTCCATAGGAAAAAACCTCGTGTTTAAACAAAATCTGTTTTTTCCATAGGAAAAAACAAATATCTTTCAAATATCTAAAATATTTGAAAGAAAACACAGCTTGGGAAGCTGAAATACCTAGATGGAATATTACTTGATTTGCACCATTCATTTTCCTTGGTGCTAATTGGTTGTAACTTCTAGAGCGGAGATGAGGAAACCTGTGAGCTTCTGCAGTAATACTCACACAGTTTCCACTGATCGTATTCATGCATTTTGAGGTATATTTGAACAATTTTGAACAATTATATTAGTTTATAGCATTTTCAGAGGGCATCTCAAGTATTGGCAAATTTCAGCTCCTGTGTTTACATATATGTATGCACCCTCTATACATACATGACATATGTGGCAAATGGAAAGGAAAACACTCTTAGCATCCCAGGATATTCATAAAACCATAAAACTATTATGTAGTGCTATGATTTAAGTAGAAATTGAGGCTCTTTTAATTGATATTAAATGTAATTAAAAACCGTTTATTAGGGTTTGCTAACTGCTAATTAGAACTTTAAAAAGAAGTGCTGCTCATGTTAGCAGCTCATGTTCAGAAACTAAGACCATCAGGTGTGACCCAGTAACCCAATAAAATAAATAAATAAATAAATAAAACCTGGAACCAATAAGAATTTAGTCAAACAATGTTCCTCAGATATGCACACAGTGGGAACAGTCTCTTTTTTCCTGGTACTGACTGTTCTAAACATCTTCACATTTGACCAGTGGTGCCATTCAGGAGATGAATCTGCTCATTGAAAAATGAGACAGAAGCTGAAGACTGATCAGTTCTGCCTTTACCAAGACCACAATCTATTACATCAGCCTCGTCGACATGTCTGAGGTTATTTCCAAATGCCGTTTAATTTTCAATTTATCCGTCCTCTCCTCCCTCCTTGTGTTTTGAACAAAACATCTGTATAGATGTTACAGACACCTCACTGTTAGGGCCAAATTGCATATTTTCTCTCATCTTTCTACAAATCCTTACATATTTTCCCATTAATTTAAATGTAGCATAACAGAGTCAGCCAGCTTTCATTTGTCCAATGAAAGGAACTTGAATCAAACATGATTGTATCAAAGACACACATCTTCCCTCGAGACTGAAACACAACCAGACACTTTCCTCATCATCAGGCGACAAAGGGTGAACAACGCTGGCTGCAAGGGGAAACAAGGAGGAGTGCTGCATTGTGTGTGAACCGTGTGGTCATGTTCAGCGGAGTGTGTGAGCCCAGCAAAAGCATTGCAAGAGGCACTGTGTGGGCACTGATTTGTGAGGTGGAGATTGTTAGCTCTTGCTCATCGGAGGAAAAAACAAACAAAAAAAAACCCCAAACACACTTCACCTCCCAAGAGTTTTGAAGAAGCAAACACAGTTTCTTTCAGGGAGATTGCTTTTCAGAAGGCAGTATATTTTAACTGTGTGAAACATGATAACTAACATGAACATGTTTAGCTAGACTGTAAATAAATAGAAAATCCCTGCAGTATATTAGCTTCAGGAAATTAGCAAGTCTTAATAAAAATGAGAAAATCTCACCCAGCTGAAACTTTGAGTCTGAAAAGCATGTTTCAACTTTGATATTTATATTGTGTCATTAAAATTTACTCTTTCTCCTTTATGTACACTCAAATAAGGGGCAAAGTGGTACTTCTCTTAATAAAAGGAGAAACACATTCTGAATATTTATGTGAATGCCCAAAAGCCCATGGCCACACTGGCATCCAATAAAACTAAACATGTAATTTCAGAAATTTTTTGGTTTTGACCAGAATTCTTTCAAGTTTCACTATGTTAAATTTGAGACTTCTAGTGCAGATGTTTTTTTTTTAAAGAAGATTGAATTATTCAGTTAATAACCTACATTTATTCTACTTCAAACCTCAGTAAGTTAAACACAATCCTCGTGTTTAAACTAAATCTGGTAAACACTGTAAATGAACGTCATCGGTGCATTTTTATTTTGAAACCGAAATAAAAAGAAAGATGGAAATGTTTTCATGTACTTCCTGAAAAGACAAATACATAAAGTCTAGGACAAAGTAAAGGAAATCTGGGGACTTTTTAATTCCTAAGATATAAGAATTTTAATTTTAATAACATTTTAACACACCACAGAAACAACATTTAAAAAACAAAATAAAACAAAAAATAACCTTTATATTCAGCATAGAAATATTAGTTTGCTTGAATAAAGAGTAAGTTTCTTCAAGTTTTTTTTTTTTTTTTTAAGTGTTCTGTTCTGGCAGAACAGAGGGGAATGACAGAAAGAGTGAAGAGGAACCAACAACACAAAAACAAACGTGGCAAAAAATATATATATATAAAAATAATTAATATTATAAATTATATTGAAATAATGAGTAAAAACATCCCGACTTTGTACTGATGATATTGATGATGAAACAAAAGCAAATACATAAGCAAACAAGATGTTCCTGCTACACTCAAATGCATACCAGTAGCATTTATGTTAAAACAAAAGAAGAATCGTATTTGCTGGGTGATTTTTGTGTGACTGCTCCCATTTTATCAATAAAATAAATATTAAATTTAACAAATTGAACACTTATAAAAGCTGACAGGTCAATCTAGGTTAGTTTGAAAGTTTTATTTTATTACTGTAAGATCTTAAATGGGGTGAAATAAAAACAGCATGATTATAAAGCTCAACACCTTCCCTTTAAAACTGTGATGGTTTACACACAATTGAGGCCTTTGCTGAACCAGATTGTGTTTTTCCTACCAAACTATTATATTTCACATCTTTCAGTGTCAATGTACAGAAAAAATGCAATTGTTCATTTCAGCACAACTTTGCACTAAGACTTATGCATTTAAAACTGACATATGTTTGGATGTACGTTGCCCTATATATAACATAGTTCACACATATGAATGAACATTACCAAGAACCATACAAAACATGATTTAATTAAGTTTAAGGTGTATTTTACAAACACAGTGAACAAAATCTTTCTGTACCACTTTTCACAGAAACAACTTTATCAAGTTCCCTTTGTAAAAAAAAAAGTTCCCTTTGTAAAAAAAAAAGTTTTAGCACATTTATGTAAATATAACAGTCGACTGCATAAACACCTGATAACATAATTTCCATCTGTTAGAAAATAACAAACCACTTCTCAAAACCACACAAAATGCCCGTAACTGCATTTCCCTTCATCTAAAATGGTAATGAGTCGACCTCCTGTCACCACTCTCAGCGCTGATCGTGTTGCTAAGTGACTACATTGTGTAAAGCTGTATGGAAACAAAGGGTCAAAGATTATACAAAAAGACAAGAAGAAATATTTGGTCAAGCTAAAATATCCACAAGAACATTGTTTATAAAATATTTTTAGATAAACATTATTTATTTAATGAGGTTGAAATGACATTTCCAGGGCAGTTCTATACTCTGGTAAAAGAGCAACTTAGTGGAAAATAAGGTAAATTTAAGTGCAATTTATGGAATTCTGTTTACACACTAATACTTGGGGAAGTTCAAGTACTTGACTGCATATATTTTTTAAACTGTTTGCACCTTAAGAAATATTTACTCTATAATAATAATAATAATAATAATAATAATAATAATAATAATAATGCATCCTATTTTCAAAAAAAAAGTTAAATAATCAGAAAATAAATATTAAGATTAAAAATTGTTTTATATTGCCTAACTTAAGTTTATAAAACCATGACTGTAACTGCATTTCCCTTCATCTAAAATGAAGGGCTTCATAGAAACTGTGGATTTCTATGAAATATCTAAGAATTGTGTTTATATTATTAAAAAAAAAAACGGCTAGAGACACATCTAAATAAATAGGAATGTCACTAAGTTATATTATCTCACTACTGTGACCAAGAAGTGAGAGAGTCATTTGATACAGATCGATTACAAACAGTAATATTTATACAGAAATATTTATATTTTACTGAAAATTATTATGAATTACACCCAATTAAAATCCAAAATTCAAAATATCCCTAAAATTTGAACAGTTGCTGGAAAAAACATAATTGTCACTATGTAGCTGGAACATAACAAAATTTTATTTCTCTTCAAAAAGAGAAATAAAAGATAATGAAAATAAAAAAAAATGTAAACAAATGAAATAAAACTGAAAGAAAAAGGAAAAAAAACACCTGAATTTCTTAAAACTGACTGAAGATGGGAACAGAAAATGAACCTGACTCTTGGTTTCTGGCAACATTTGGACCAATTTTCACTGCTTAATTAAAGGTCCACTTGTCTAAAACCCTTCTGGTGTCAGAACTATTGTCTGAGACAGAATATCAGTTTCTTTAGATACAGGAAAAATCCAAGTCAATGGGCCATTAATGTTGCTGCTCACAATTTAGGATTAATTAGAAAGTTTCTGGCTTTTATTCTTTATTTCAGCCTGCTGACCTTGAAGGAAGACTAGAAGCTTAAATTTACTGCAAAGAAAAAGATGAATAAAGAAGAAGGAGACAGAAAATGGAAACAACAGGTGCTTACATTGACTAAACAGTCAATGACGGACAAGAAGATGGATAAAATCATCCTCACAAGCATTTTAACACGCACACACACACAAGCACAAGCCTTCATGATGGATTTGGCATCCCACTGAGCCTCATTTTCTGCAGCAGCAATGTCAATCAGAAAGAAAATGAAATCTTTGTGACTCAAATTGAATTTGTACTGTTGAAGGTCATTTCATTGAGCAAGAAGAGCAGACTAATTCAAGAAATGAGGATTGATTCTGATTGTTCTGCTGCTTATTTCTTCTTTGGTTTCTTATCTTACTGCACAGACCCCTCTGCCTGATGATACCCACAGTATTTTTAAATAGTCTCTGGCATCCAAACAGACAAATGGTCACTCAAATAGAGTGTCTGACATCACATGCAGATATTTGGCCTGGAAAAACTGCAACGTTGAGCTTATTTGCGCTGGTTGCCATTGTTCAAAGGTTGAATGACACGACAGCAAAAAGTTTCCACAGAAATACATGCCAAATTAAAAATATATATAGATAACTTTTTGGGAAGTAAGACTTAGAAGGCAGTATATTTTCTGTCAATTCAGTTTTGTAGTGTAAATGATTTTTGTCACCTTATAGCTTTTCTGTCACACTTAAATGTTTCACATAATAAATCATTACCACCCCTTGAATCATGAATGAATAAATTAAACTAAACATGTACAAGTAAAACCCAGCTTGATTCTTACCTGACCTGCACTTATAATACTTTGAAAATAACCACTTGAATTGGTGAAAAGTATCACCCAAAAAAAAACAATTGACTCAAAAAAAGTAGAACAACAGATCAATTGAAAGGAAGGAGTTACAAAGCATTTCTTAAACATAAGGACATAGCAAACCAAAGTGGGAGACACAATCCACAAGTGGAGAAAACATGCAGCGTGAGTTTCCCTTTCCTTATAATAATTCTCACTACTTAAAGGTGCATATAAACTGAGTAGGGCAATGACCATCACTCCTAGATGGTCAGGTGAACCTTACATATTGATTATATAGGAATAAATCCTCTATCCTGACAGAGTAGAACACTGGAGTCTACAAGATAAGAAATAATATGGCAACAGTTTAAAGCAAGGATAGGCTTTGGAATAACATGAGGTGACTCTCAAGCTCCAGCTATTTGTCTAAGTTTTACTGATGAAGGGGTTATATGAGGGCTAATGCTCTATATGGAGTTGCTGCTCTTCTGCATTTAAAGCAATCATTGCAGATATTTGATAAAGATGGTGGTTTTTCATTCACTCTTTACTTTAGAAGACCTAAAATACTATGTTGAGTGAGTGAGTGAGTGAGTGAGTGAGTGAGTGAGTGAGTGAGTGAGTGAGTGAGTGAGTGAGTGAGTGAGTGAGTGAGTGAGTGAGTGAGTGAGTGAGTGAGTGAGTGAGTGAGTGAGTGAGTGAGTGAGTGAGTGAGTGAGTGAGTGAGTACCCATGGATGGATGGATGGATTTTATAAATAGACATAGATGACATCCCTGCTGTTTTTAGAGCTCAGAGGCCCACAGAATACATTTTACACAGCTGTAAAGTCTAGCTGTGGTGACCTACAAAAACTTTGTCAGACTCCTTCTAAAACTTCTGAGAAATCCCAAACTGCACTCAGTAATGATCAAAACAAATTTACATATTTCTGATTAGTATGACTCCAAGCTAGAACAGTACCTCATAATATATGAAAGTACATGGAATAAGGAGCTTGAAGTTGTTAGTTTGAACAACTTTGAGTGCAAAAATGTAAAGAAAGCAGAAACCTTCCCATACATCCATGTTCTGTGTACTGAGCTTTCAGCTGATTTACTGTCAAGCTGCAGCAAATAATATTAATAAGCAGCAGGGATTTTTACCTCATAATTTCTTAAACAAAAACCAACCAAAAAAAAAAATAAATCAAACAAACAAAAAAAATTTACTGCATTTTGGCATTTATCCTTTTCCAAAAGCCTAAAAAAGCTCAATGCACTTTTGAAAAGGATAAATGTAAAAGGATTCATCTTCTGATGTGAGCTCCTGGAGCAGCCTTGCACGCTGCAGGTGTAACTGTGTACTTGAACAGAGAAACGCTGACAAAAAGCCCAGATGAAAGGCCGCCACCCCCACTAGTCCCACAGATGTATGCATTCGTGACATAATCGGATAATTGTGAAGAATATTTCCACGAAAAAAGCATTGTGAGATGTGTCTAAAATAACTCCACTCACTCGAACGGCTCACTTTGGTCGTATTTCTGCAGCTGCGGAGGGATGGGAATTCGTTTGTAGTACATTTCCCAGTCGAAAGCCCCTCGCATGGCGTCGCCTGCCTGCGTTTCATAGCCGAAATTGTCATGGTCGATAACGTCTATCATCGGGCAGACGATGGTCTTCCTGTTCTGGGCGATTCGGTCTGAGGGGTCAGAGGAGAATGCAAACATGTTGGCAGACAATTAATAGCAAGAGACTGGCTTTTTGCTTTCAGAGCTTTAAGGAACAAAAACAAGCCGGCTCTCTGCTCCTTTTCACTGACTGCAGATGTCTGGGAGCAGATAGAGAGCCATCTCTCTGCTGATTCAAACACCCAAATACAATGAATGCTATAAGAATAAAGAAGTAAATCTTTAAAGAATCAATGCTTTCAGAAAGAAAAACACCCTTTGGTTCATTTATTGTAAATGGTATACCACAGATCAGAGTGCAACTGCTTTTCCTTTCACCATTTTTATACCAAAGGAAAAAAAAAACATCTAGAAACCAGAAAGTAGGTCCATTCACTTTCTAATGAAGCACTTAGGATTACCATGGCCTGGAAAAATCTGAATTCTTGGCAAAATAAAATATGGATGAAGCCTTGAGGTATGACATGTGTATTCAGTGTGACAGGGCCTTAAACTTTTATTCTTTCCCCCCAGAAAACCCAGAATTTCTCAGAAAGTTTCAAGGTTCTCACTCATTTCACTTCTTTTTAACACAACAAAAAAATTTACAGACCATATAAAAACAATAATTTCAAAACAATCAACTTGAAAAGTGACTATTTAGTGATCAAAGGAAAAACTGGTTTTGATTAAAGAAATGAACAAAACAGATTTTAATAAACTCAGATGAAAAGGCACAAATTTCAGCAAATTGCAATTGTTGACATTAGTGCGTGAAACACAAGTGTGATGGAATAATACAAATATGAGAAGCTCGGAGTATGAAAGTGATATGCTTTAAGCAGTTATAATGTTGATTTTTTAATCATTTTAAGTCAACATCTTAGAAGCAATAAGTAGATGATCTGATCTTCCATGTGTTTCAATCCAGTTGAACCAAAATCATAAGAGTAAAGTTAATTTTGAAATGCTATTTGAAATCCTTAACCTCCAACATGTTAACTGAGTAGAGTCTGACAAAACGCAAAAGAACAATACTCCCCCATGTTCCCTATAGGTTCTGTTCTATTAAAAAGCTAAACCCTTGTTAAGTTATTCAGGTTAGTTATCCAGTACCCTTGCTGACTAGCAATATTTTGCATCTTGATTTATGTACATTGAATTACAGTTAATGTGATGGTGTGAAGCTGAGAAGCTTTGCTCACCCAGCAGAGGCGGCAGCCAGTTGACGTTGGCCTCACAGTGAGAGTCCAGGAAGGTGATGACCTCCCCTGTGGCGGCGGCGGCTCCCAGCAGTCGAGTCCTGATCAGACCCTCTCTCTTCTTCGTCCTCAGGATGCGAACCTTCAGCAGGCGTACCATGTACTCCTCTAGCGCCACTTTGAGGTGCTCTGGAAGAGAAAACATAAGGGCAGAATCATCAGATTAATTCAAATGGCTTCCAGTAAATTAATACCTACTGACACAAAAAGAGAGACGCTTTTAAAAGCTGTCCTCAAACATACCCTCACAAAGCAAGATCAAAAGAAAGCCATTAGGCATCGCTGTGAAGCAAGACATCTGCCTGTGCCACATGCTGCAGACTGAACTCTTCCCCTTTAGGCCTCTATATCATGACACACTCACCCTAACTGAGAAAAACTTCTTACTTCGTTTACTTTTCAACACTTTTTCTATCTTTACTGCAGTCATTAGACAGAATGTTAGCCTCGAGAGTCAGAGTCCAACTGTGAGTGATGAAAGAAAGGATTAAATCAACCCCTCCTAACATGTGCGAGCCATAAAGCTCTTGGCAAAAACTACGGCTTCCTCTAAAAATTATGATGCTCATCATTTTACCAAAATTCATAATGCACCACAAGGGAATTGTAGCTGCTATGTCCTCAGATAATCTCCTTACTTTTCTTTGTCAGAGGGAAGATTACTCAAGTCCACAGAATCAGAAAGTTTATTTAAGTCCAACCAACAGCTTGGAGAACAAGACCAAGAGCAAAGGGAGAGCTTCTTTAGCTGAAACTGAAAATCTGCTGAAACCTAACAGTACACAAAGGATGAAAAAAATACATCAATCAGTCAAATGAAAACTATAAATGCATGTTTACTTTCCTCCATATTCCATCAAAGCTGCCTTTGACAGATCAATTCGGTGGCAAATGGAGCTTGTAAATCTTTCTGTTTGAATGTCAAGCACATTCTGACGAGTCAATAGAAAGATAAAGTGAAATCTAAGAGCAAGATTTTATTCACAATGCGACTGCAGTAACAGCCGTTCCAAAGCTGTCCAGACTCATCAAACCAATCTTAACTATTTGGAACTCCATCAACCCATCCATAACATACATTGTCTGAACCCATGTGATTCCATCCATCATCTGCTTTGCAGCCTCCCTTTCAATCCTCAACATCTTGCAGAAATTAATGTGCCTTTAATTCCATCTTTGTTGGCAAAAGTCTTGATGAGACACCATTTGGTACAAACCAACCAGCCAAGAATGCTTTCACACACACACAAATCTGTTTATCATGGCTAAACACAACTCAGATGCATCCGAGGAAAACAAAAAAAAAAAAAGACTTTTCTCCACCTGAAAAATAATTATGTGTCAGCAGTGTCTTATAATCCATCTGTCTCTTGGAAAATAAGCTGTTTAACTACATCCCAGGCTGCTCTGGACAGTTACTCAGAGGGAGTAAACATTCATTGCCTTCAAACAGTTAAACTGCCTATAACATTTCTTTTGAAAAATACACAGATAATACTGCTTTATTTATGAGTTTTGATCATCTAGAGGAAAAATGTGTTGATATTAATTCATTTTATCTTCTTCCCTATCTAATTTGCAACCAGATTTTCTAAAGTCAAATCCAATTCCTCAGTTTTAAATTTTTTATTATTTTTTTTTAAGTTCTCATTTGCCAAAATCTAATTTGATTGAATCAATTATCTGAAATGACAGATTTCAAAACTTTACGAATAATCTGATTGTAACACAGAGATGGAAACAAAGCAGAACAAACTCTTCGTTCTGCTTTGTTTCCATCTGTGTTATAATCTTTGGTGGTCTCATGCTAACAAGATAACACAATGGGCAGTTGCCCATATCGCCCATGTCAGAAACCACGACTGTCTGCACCATTAAACATAGCAATTACGGTAATGCACTAACTGTAAACAATACTCAACTATGAACTCTGACCAAGGATCAACAAGCAAGAAGTAACCAAGCACAAGGACATCGTGACTGTTATCACCCTGTCACATGAAGCCATGCAGCACAAAGTAATATCCATAATGTCTGCCACATGACAAGAGACAAAAACAATCAAAGAGCAATGCACATGCTCTACATGCTTTCTTATTGTGTTTTATTTATTTGTTGCATCAATGTATATGTTAAAAAAAGATAATAGCTACTCCAGCAGGAGCACAGATACATACTTTCTGGGGTGCATGTGAACATGTCATCCCCCCCGCACGGGGCTGAACTGAACTATTTGGATCTGAATCTGACTGTCATTTTCATTGCCTACGAATGACTTGGACCAATTTGAACTGGATCCCAAGGCCGACAGACAAAAGCAGGAAGAAGAGCAGCCAAAACCCACAAGGATCCACTCTGGCTAACCTCCATTCTTCTTTCTCTTCTGTCTGCTGAAAATTATTTAATGACCCTCAGTAAATGACAACCCTTCTCCTCGAGTCAAACAAGCCGCAAATCAAAAGTGTTCAGACAAGAGTTGGTCCAGTCAGATGTTATTAAAGCTTAGCAAAGTGAATTAGAAGAGAACAGAAATCAGGACCTGACTGAGGGATACTGTCCATCAAACTACCACGCTGTCACAAATACCTCTGGTTACGCTTGATGGTCTCTTACGGGACTTGGCTTGTGCTGAAGGTCTTTAATTAAAACCAATTACATGAGCAATATAAACAGATCTCCTTGAAAACCGAGAAACATTCATTATCACAGTGATTGTAAAACCTGTTTATGACATCAAGGCTTCAGCTTTAGGCTGTTCATTAAATAATTTTAGGCTGTTTTTGCATTATTCACTGATCCTAATGCACAACACAAGTTTGCCGTATATTGTGCATCCATAAAAGCAGCTTTGAGCAAATTAGAAAAATATACTGAATTCTTCAACTTTTACATATATATATATTTTATGTTACAGTCACAAACTATGTATTGTTTTTGTGTTTTATGTGATTGATCCACACAAAGCAATGCAATTTTGTGAAGTGGAGGAAACGGAAGCATGGGTTAGCTGCAAGTGGATTTACAGATTATTGAATCAGAGGACAGAATCTTCACAGACACTCTCCACTTTGTGTAGCGCCATCTCATGAAATATCAAAGAAACACATTAAGGTCAGTGATTGTAATATGAAATAAATTGGAAATATGCAAGAATACTTTTGAATCAGTTTCTGAAACATAATGGCACTGTTAAAACAAACAAACAAACAAAAAAAAAAACAACCTCAATTTGACCATCTTCAAACATCTTCAGCATTTTAAACAAAATTCAAAGCAATGTCTGAAAATGTTGCTCAAATTAAAACTTAAATTGTCAACAGCATTTTTTTTTCTTTTCCCGTTATCTGCTATTGAAAATAACAAACTGAAAAGTTTTGGTCCAAGTTGTTCCTTCTGAACTAGGTATTTTGGCAGTCGGAGCAGAAGGAACTGTTAAAAGTCAAAATTCAACTACTCTAGTAAAACAATTTGACAGGCAAACATGTGTGCCTATACAAAATCATTGTAAAAATAGCAAAACCCTATTGGTTTAAGCCAATTTTATTTGGTTTAAAATTAAATACTCAAAACTTTGTAACTACTTAAATTACATTTGCAAAACATTGCGTGAATAACTCACTTTTCAGTCATACACGTTTTAAGAATAAAGAATGTTTTGTATGTGCTTAATTACGCACTAAGTTTTGTATCAAGAGGAAATCTTCCAGTTTGGTTGAAAAATTTGGTACACACAAACAATATAGATATGAATTAATTGGAGAACACAACATTGAGGAGGGGCATAAGTGTTGGAAAGAGTTGAATAATGTTGTAGTAGAGCAACATACTCAGTGAAGGTCCCCAGACTCCAAGCTGCTTTATGGCAAGGCATTTTTTATAGGAAATTAGCACTGGCATTTTGGGTTTGCATGAGGTTGGGTGATCATATTGTCCATCTGTCCAGTATCCAGATGTCATGGTTTTGCTTTACAGTTTCTGGAAAATCAGGTGCATTTTGTTGAAAGAAGTGTGCTTCATATGCGACACAACGGCCTGGAACAAACATTCAAACTAAGCAAAATCTAAATGAAACAGTTTCTGCTAAGTGGGTAACATCTTGTTCAACCTTTGTTGTCAGTCAGCGATTTTATTTTACATATTTTCAGGAATAAAACGAAAACTGTGACCTCACTGAAGATATTCTTAAAAGTGTTTGTACCCCATGTCTACCCAGATACAGTGAAAGTTTGACAATATCGCCTTAAAAAAATCGTCAACTTCACATATCTAACATCCCATCGACTCATTGCAGCTTTAATGCGCTGCTATTATGACATTGAAATAATATCTAAAGGGCTCCACAGGGTTAGTGTCACACCAAGATGGGCCTTCACCTTCATAACATGGCAATAAATCAGCCCATTAGCTATTAACCATCAGGAAATTGATTCAAGCTCAACTTTTACCCTCCATGGGTAGATTCTTAAGAAACATTTCCTAATGACAGGCGGGGAGATTAAACAGTGAACATTTGCGTTGCATGTAAAGCCCATTCAGGAAATGATTGGGGAGCATGAAAGGTTGCGGTGTCTAATTATGAACAGTTAATTTGACTGGAATAAATTGGAATAAAGCTTGTCTAGTTTACAAAAAAACTGTCGAGGCAATAAATCACTTTAATGAGAAGCGGCTGATTTTGGCATGCATATCAGTCACTGTTAGAATGCAGAATTGAGGACACAAGGAGGAATCGGACATCAGTGACATCCGGGTGACTGCCACAGGCCCCATTTACCAACACCCAAATACCCACCATTATCCTGCAGCGTGGAGTCATGGTTATCATTTCACCTTGCATATATTGAACATTTATTGCACCTGCAACACGTTCACTTAGACTTTTCATTTATAGATGCAATCATCATGCCCTGCAGAATATTTTGTAGCCCTTCTTGGTTGAGGCAAGGAGGTGCGAAGGGGGATTTAGATTCAATTAAGCTGAAATTACAGTGGAACCAATACTCTATCCAAATCACCTTTCCAAGGTGCCTGGATTGTTTCCCAGAAGCTTTGGCAAGGTATGCGAGAAGCCAAGCTTCCAGTTTATTGCTCCAAAACATTCAGCTGCTCCTGCACACTCCATCACACAT